ATTGGTATGTACATCTGCACATCATCCGCATAACAATGAAAAGAAACACCATGTTTTCTAAAAACACAACCAAGAGGAATAAAATATAAAGAGAAAAGCAGGGGCCCCAAAACTGAGCCCTGCGGAACCCCAGATACCAATGAGGCAGATGAGGACTCAACATCAGCAAACCCAACAGACATCGTCCTATCCGACAAATAAGACCTGAACCACTCTAAGGCAGTACCACGGATGCCCACTAACCTTTAGTGAAGATATTAGGATATCGTGGTCAACCGTGTCAATTTAAAACATGACAATTAAAGTGTGTCCTAAGTGTGTCATTTACCACACTTAGGAAAAAAATCAGACACACACACTGCTGTCCAAGGAATTTTTTCAACTGCTGTTGTGTATTCTGTTTGAAGCCCAGACTTGACATCTTCATTTGTGAAGTGTCTTGATTATGCAGAATATTTCTGCCGACATATCCCGATGCCCAGACTGCCTCACTAGAACATGAAAGGCTAGGATTAAGGAAGTCATCACACACCTCAGCAGAAAGAGGCAGGCACACAAGCTCATGCACACAGAGGCAAAAACTAAAAATAGAGGCAGCTATCCTACTGATGCTGGTTAAGGCTCCTCACCCCAGACAGTTGGATTTACATATCTTTAATGTGCTTTTTTCTCCTCTCTCCTTTCTTTCTCCGCATTTCTCCTTTTCTTTCTCTGTTTTCTTATGTTCTGTGTGAAGCAGTCTGGATTCCTACAGGAATTCTCAGGAGAGCTTGCAGTACATGTTGGGAGAGAGCTTTTTGCATCAGAGAAGCATGGCAGAAAAGACTTTAACAACAGTAGTAATTAGACATTTTGGAAAGACAAGGGCTCTGACCCCGCCACACACATAACCACCACCTCTATCACCAATCCCACCTCTCTCTCTGTCTGTCTCTCTCTCTTTTATTTTGTCATTCCCTCTGTCAGGCCTTTAAGGACAATATACTGGTCTCCATTTGGTCTGTGAGGAGGGCAAATAAATCTCTGAAGTCTCTGGGCAGCATAGAACTGACTGCAAACTATGACCCCCATGTCAATAACAGTAACAACAGTAGATTCTGGCACATGTATTCCGTTAGATCCATATGAGTCTTACAATAAATAATAATAATAATAATAATGAAAAAATACTGTCAAATTATTGTGAGGTTGACAGATACAGAGACATTTGATGGGTTTGTTTAGACCCATACTCTATGATGACTCTTTTAAACATAAGAAATCCGTCACCTGGCCTCATGTCTGTAATGCATCAGTTTATGTCATATCTTAGAATCTGTG